ATATATATATATATATATATGTTGGTTTTTTTTAATTAATGAACTTTTTATTTTTAAAATCAAGTAAATTTGGTCATGTAATTTGTATTGAAATTTCTTGAATTGTTATTTCCTATTTAAGGATTTATAATGAATTTAAGATGAAAAATAATTTTAAAAAAATAGAAGTTAGATTAGTGATATATTAAAAGTTAGATGTTTTATTAAAACTAATATTTTATTTTGTAAATAAAATAAAATAAAATCAATATTTGTTTTTTTAGATTAATTGCATTTTTAGTCTCTTGCGTACCATAATGATTTATTTTTGTCCTTTGCGTTTCAATTCTACTAATTATGCCCCTCAAACTTTTTTAAAATTCTTAACGCTTGCAATCCTAAAGATATATTAAACCAAAGATGAACATAAATAAAATATTTGGACATCAAGCTTGTAATAACAATATTGTGATCAAAACAACATGCAATGAAAACAATAGAATGCAAGGATTTCGGGAGTCAACACCCCATCTTTTCCCTACCATAGAAACAAGTAAAAAATGAAAAGGAAGCATACCTTTGCACGCGAACTTTGAAGCAAAAAGAGATGGGATAGTTACTCAACCATCTTGCTCCTCTTCAACACCTCCTAGACTTTCTCCCATAACCACGGTAACATTAAAAATTTACTCTATAGTTTTGGCTAGCAAACAAGTGAGGAAGAAGTGTGAGGAGAGACTTGCGAGGGTGTTGTATTTAATTTATTGAGTGGTGGGATGGTTTTGATAGGATGTGGGCATAGCTAGGTGGGTGGGTGAGAAGGGTGGCCAACACGAGTAAGATGACTTGCTATAGGCTTTTTGATTTATGTAGGGTTATTATGAAAATTATTTATTTAATCGGGACTCTATGAAATATTTTACTATTTATATTTATTTTGGGGGAGTCAACCATTTAGTGACATTTATGTCACATCATTTTTTTTTGAAAAAATATTTAAAAATGGACATGCTAAAGATGTTTAAAGTTGAAGTTGCTAGCTTTTAAGCTTTCTTCTTGTGTAGAAGCTTATCTTTATATTTCCATGTGTTGGACTGTAATGATCATATTTGATATGAGAGTAAGTCAGATGTAAGTGAAGGGCTTACTTGGAGCCAGTGTCGATCATGCCTTCAAATGGTTATATTTTGGAGCTAGTCTAATGTAACTTGTATATAGATTACTAGGATTTATGTTTTGGTTCTTGGTTATCACACATATTTGTATATATACAGGAATGTTGTAACCTTATAAGCGGGTTTATGTTTTCAGTCAAAGATAGAAAAATTGTTTTATGTTTTCTTGCCCCTACATATATATAAGGGATTCACTTACTCTAAAAATAAGTATACCTAAACTTATTTTACTCGATAACGTATGTTCTACATCATATTTCAAAGATTCAATCACAAAATAGACTTTTAAACATGTTAAACCAAACTTTTATACAAATCAGGCCAATTTTTCAACAAGTAAATGGGTCAAATATAAGCTTTGATTTTTAAACGTTAGCTTGTTTCAATCCTAATTAAAACCAAACATAAAAATCTTGATTTCAAGAAAATATAAATAAATATTTTTAAGAATGTTTATGATATATCAGACTAATTCTAATCATTTCTAAAGATTCTGATTTATAGGATTCATGATTTTTATTTATCATAATTTTTAAACATGAAACTTTTTGCTTATAAAAAGATGAAATTTTTTTCTTAACCAAGGGTTGGAGTTTGACTTCCAACTTAGACATGAAGTCGTGACTGGAGATATTATATGATTTTCTCCTTATAAGAGGCAACCCAATGAGAAGAAGTTATATTATAAGTTATGAACTCAAAGTCATGGGGTAGAAGGATTCACATGTTTTATGAAAACATCCATGTGACAACTTAAAAGAAGATTTAATATTAGACATGATTGTTGATCTATTGAAGTGTTGATGCTAAAAATGATATAGGTATTTAGACATGTTAATTGACTGACTAGAGGAAGGAATGTTTTTGAAAGGGATATCGCATTATTTGGATATTGGTGTGGTGCTCTATGAGCCAAATTGTTGAAAAATCTTCTTTGAATAGATATTAACTCTTGGAGTGGATTGTTGAGTATCATCTAGATCCTTAGTTGATATTGGAATAAAGTATGAAATCAAGGGCTACTACCCTTAATTGATTATTGGAGAGGTGCATAGTATTGTAAGGATAGTTAGCTAGGTTGTAATCCATAGGGGATTTGGTTAATGCATATTAATGTAATGGTAAGCCCATACCCAAGCCACGTTATACATGACAATGGTACTAACATTTTCTAGTTTAAGTGATGATGTCTGAGAAATCTTGTATTATGGATTAGTATCCAAACTTAGTTATTGATCTAACAGGCATGAAACACATGAAAAAAATCATGTTTGTTTGGTAGAGTCATGCTACTTAAATTGCTCACTTTGTTATAGGAGATCTTTCTAGATAAATGCGTGACGATGCATTGGTTGAGATATATGCATATAGTGTAACGTGATTTGGTGATTGCATGGTTATGTTATAAGTTTGATTTGCTTGAGTTATTTACCTTTCAAACTTGTTGATGTCATGTTGAGTGTTGCATGATCTAAACCAAGAGATGCATGTTGGGTGATGTTCTTTAGAGTGTATTCACACTTTACACATGATTTTCAATACATTTTTCTGCGATTTTCAATAAAAGATCTTATTTATTATTTTTTAACAAAAGTTTTAAGAAATAAATAATATATGTACTAAATATCATCATCTATCCAATATATAAATGAAAAATCAAGTTATTTCTCATTTTATTTTCTTTTAAATTAACAATTAAAGATAAATTAATCAATTTTTTACACCTGATAAATTACTCGTTAAAATTGATATTATTATTTATCAATTTTTAAAATAATTATTTTAAAACTAATTTGAAAATGATTTACCAGTACCAAAATAATTGCTATATTAATGATACAAATCAGTTAAACTCATTTTTTAAGATACTAGTTATCAAGACAAAGAACAATTTTAAAAGAAAAATTTATCATTTAGTTTAAAAACAATTTTGATTTATAATACAATGAATAATACATTTTCTAACAATGTAATGATAGTATATATATATATATATATATGAGGAGGGTTCAAACGACACCGGTGTAACTTTTACTAAGTGTTACACCACTTAATAACTTTATATTAAATGTGAATTTTGAAAATTCAACCGTTAGATTGAAAGTTCATATCTCTTAGATCATATATGTCAAATTTTGTTAAAATTGAACAATAACTTGAAGGTAATCAAAATGTTCATATTTTAGTATATTTTGAAATGTATATATTACGTCAATTTTGTTTTATGAGAATGAAGTATCAAATAATCTTAGATTAATATAAAATTTGATATATATGATCTAAGAGATATGAACTTTCAATCTAACGGTT